AAAAGACGAAAAGAAAAATGAAGAAGCAAAATAACTTTGAGCGAAAAAGACTTAGAAGAAAAATGAAGAAATGTAACTTTGAGGCAAGAATTTTTTGTTTCAGGCGGACAGAAAATGATCAATGTCTGTGATAAACCGACGGAATCCATTTTTTTTTCTCAAATAAGGATTTAGGACAATTAATCTGGGGATAGATTTTTCCCCTACAGAAATAGAAGAAATTAGAATAAGATTTATCCGTTTCATTTTATCTGATTGGTCATCTATGATAAAAAAAAAAATGATACCCAATTAAGCTCAGTATAAAATTTCTCTTCAAACTCCATTTCCCCCTCCCCTTCCCCTTCCCCTGCCCCTTCTCCCCACTTTTAACTCCATTTCCCCTTCTCCTTTGCTCCCTATCCCTACTTTCCCCATACCCCATACCCCTATCCCCCCCATGCGCCCCATCTACCACTCACCCTTAAAGAAGTAAAATAATAATAATAATAATAATAATAAAATAATAATTAATAATAATAATAATAATAATAATTAATGATAATAAATAAATAAATAAATAAACAAAAAATAAAAAAATAAATGCTCTCTTTCCCCCATCTCCCCTCATGCCCCCCCATCTCCCCCACCCACCACCTGAAAGAAAAGAAAAAAAAAAAAAAAAAAGAGAGAGAAAAAACACGTGACCTCCCAAGAGCATCCATACATTCGCGTGTCGGTCTGTCTCTGGAATTCGCTTCGTCATCCCCGAGGCGATATCTGCCCTCCCCCCCCCCCTTCTCTCTCTCACCCCTTCCACCCACCCCTCTCTCTCCTATGCCCCGCTACCCCTAGATCTCTATCCCCTATCTACCCCCCCCCCCTTCTTCCTTCACTATGTTCCAGCGCCCCCTATGACATTCTCTTACCCCCCCCCTCCCTCCCCTCCCCTTCTGCCATACCCCTATGCCTCTATATAACCCTTAACCCTCTACACCTGTTCCCATTCGCATCCACTTCTTCTCCTCTCTCCTTCCCCTCTCTCCGTCTCTTTCATCCTCCCCTCCTTCTCTTTCCCATGATTCCGTCCCCTTTCATTCTCCCTCTCCTTCCCTCTCTTCTCTTCTCATCTTTTCTTTTCTTTTCTTTTCTTTTTCTTTTCTTTTCTTTTCTTTTCTTTTCCCCCCCCCATCCCCCTTTCTTTCCCCTCCCTTCCTCCCCCCTCCCCCCCTCCTTCCCCTACCCTTTTTTACCCTCCCTCCCCCTTCCCCTCCCCCTCCCCTCCCTCCCCTCTCCCTCTCGTGATTCCCTGCGTTTGTTGACACTGTGAGACGAAGGGTAGGCCTATGCCACGCTAATTGTCTTCCGCCCCTCTTCTGCCCTTTCTTCTTCTCTTCTTCGTCGCCGGCCTTTTACTTATTGGTGTTTTCCTTCTTGTGTCTTGTTCTGTTTTCAGCATATATATTTATATATGTGTGTGTGTGTGTGTGTGTGTGTGTGTGTGTGTGTGTGTGTGTGTGTGGTGTGTGTGTGTGTGTGTGTGTGTGTGTGTGTGTGTGTCTGTGTTGTGTTGTGTGTCTGGTATATATATATATATATATATATATATATATATATATATGTATATATATATATATATATATATATATATATATATATATATATATATATATATATATATATATACATTTGTTTGTGTATCATATTTAGGGGATGGGAAGGGGTAGAACATGAAAGGGAAAGAGGAAAAGCCAAAATTAGAGAAGGAGATACACCAGAGCTATACAACCGGGCGAGCGTCTTCCGTAAAAAAAAAAAAAAAAAAAAAAAAAAAAAATCTAGACACGCGTGGCGCTTGACTCGTCTGGCGGCCTCTTGGGGAGGAGAAGGGGATGGAGAGTGCGAAGAAAAGAGAAAGAATAATGAGTAAACAGAGGAGAGAAAGAAGACGGAGAAGGAAAGAGAAAGAAGAGAGAAGAGAAAGAGGAGGAAAGGTTGATATGAAAAAGGAGAGGAGAGAAAAGGAAGAGAGAAGAGGGGAGTTGACGAGGACAGGGGAAAGGGTGACTTTATACGTCAATAAAATATATATATATATATTTTCTTTTTCACGGAGAATTTTGAACATCTTATGAAAAAACTTCCAAACATATTTTTTCTTTAAAACAACAATTTCTTATAATAGCAATGAGCAGCATTTTCTTCTAAAAAGATAATACCAACAATTTCTTCTAATATTCACAGCCACAGACAATAATTCATTTTAAGAACAATAATAAACATTTTCTTTTTCATGTGATACTGAGAACCAACATTTTTCTTATAACAGATGCATATTTTTCTGCTTTTTATTTTTTATGATTTTTCTACAATGTGATAGCCAATATTTTTTCTTTCTATAATGAGCACAGACATTTTCTTTTGAAATTGAATGCGATCTTTTTAACTGTTTTACAAAGATAACCAACATTTTCAACAACAACAATTTAACAACATTTTCAACAACATTTCCAACAACAAC